AGGTCGCCCCAAAATCGCTCACGAGGCCTCCAAGATGGCCCGATGACGGCCCAAGAAGCCCCCAAGAAGGCCCCAAGAGGGCCCCAAGACGGCCCAAGAGGCCTCCAAGACGCCCAAGATGGCCTCCAAGACGGACCCGAAGCGCCCCAAGGAAGCCCCAAGTCGGTTCAGAGAGGCCCCCAAGACGGCTCCCGACGGCGTCAGACGGGCCAGGAACGCCATAAGATGGCCAAATGAGCCCCCGAGAAGCCCCAAAAGGGCCCCAAGAGGCCCTCCACAGGCCCCAAGAGAGCCGAACCTAGCCCCAACATGGCCTCCGAGACTGTCCCGAGATGCTCCAAGCGTTCCCCGAAACCATTCCAAACCGACTCGGGAAACACATGGTCCGATACCTTGGCCAAGCTCTAGCCCAGCTGTCGGACACATTCGGGGATGGACAGACCCCCCTTTAGTAAAACGTGGTTTAGTGAAAACGACCTGAGGCCTAAACCTGGAGGGCGCAAACCTGGAAAATAACGGCCACGGCGCCCTCTCGAGAACCGAAAACGGACAATTCACTAATCGACGTGTCACTGTTGGGGGTTCTGTCCAGCCCCGACACATAGGCGCTTCCACAAGGGCAGGGGGGCGGCGGTGATTCGCTGGAGGCGTCTTCGAGCCGCCGCCCCCCGTTGGCTTGCCACAGGGGTGCCCGGCGTGCTGGATCCTTTCCAGTTTGGGGTTGGCTCTTTTTCGAGAAGAATGAGCGAGCAACGACATATGTACATGTACGCCCTCCGCGATCTTGAATGCACGAACGTCCTCGTTCAAACGCCCTCCAAGGGAAGCTAACCGCGTACGTGTACATATGTTGCTGGCCTTTGAAAGAACCCCCTGGGGCTTCGGACCGTCACGCCGGCCACCCGGAAGAGTGCGCAAACGGTGGCTGCAAAGGGTTGTTCGGCCTCAGACGGCGCCAAGATGGCCTCCAAGATGGCCAAGATGGCCTCCAAGTTCGCCCAAGATGGCCCAAAGTGGCCTCGAAGACGGCCCAAGAAAGTCCAGGATGCCTCCAAGACGGCCCAAGACGGCCTCCAAAAAGCCTCCAAGACGGCCCCAGAGGCCTCGAAGATGTCCTCTAGGGTCCTCAAGGACGGCCCGAAGAGGTCAAAATCATTGATTTGTCATAGATGTTGAAAGGATTTCGGCTGTTGCTCCTCTTCGGATTCCGACGGCCCAAGCCCAAGAGGCCATCAAGACAGCCCCGAGTGCCCAAGAAGCCTCCAAGACGGCCCCAGGACGGCCCAAGAGGCCCCCAAGAGAGCCCCAAGAAGGCCCCAAGACGGCCCAGGAGGCCCCCAAGAAGCCCCAGATGGCCTCCAAGACTGCCAAGATGGCTTCCAAGATGCCTCCAAGACGCCTAAGACGGCCTCCAAGACGGCCAAGATGACTCCAAGATGCACCCAAGACGCCCCCGAATGGCCTCAAGATGGCCTAAGACGACCCCATAGGCCTGCAAGAGGCCTCCATGACGGCCCAAGAGCCCTCCAAGACGTTCTCCAGGAAGGCCCGACAGGGTCAACATCATTGATTGTCCTTAGGTGTTTGAAGGATTTTGGCTTTGCTCCTTTTCAGCTCTCCGGCGGCCCAAGACGGCCCAAGCGGCCCCCAACATCGACCCAAGGGCGTGCAAGATGCCCCCAGGACGGCCCCGAAAAGGCCCCAAGACGGCCCAAGAGGCCCCCAAGACGGCCTCCTCCAAGACGGCCAAGGTGGCCTCCAAAATGCCTCCAAGACGCCCAAGGTTCCCGTCAAGACGGGTAAGATGGCCCGAACAAAACACCCAAGACGGTCCAAGACTGCCTCAAGATGGCCGAAGTCGACCCTATAGGCCCGCAAGAGGCCTCCAAGACCGGCCAAGAGCCCTCCAAGACGTTCTCCAGGAAGGCCCGACAGGGCAAAAAAAATTGATTTGCATATGGCTGTTGAAATAGACGTAGATGGAAAGTGAGAGGAGGAACGCGGTAGTAAAGTAATTGGCGTCTTCGTTTGGGGGAAGTCAAAGTGTAGTAAAGAGCTAGTAAAGTAAGGGGGTTAAAGGATTTTGGCGTTCGCACATGTTCAGCTTTCCGACGGCCCAAGACGGCCCAAGAGGCCCCAAACTTCATCCCAAGAGCGCCCAAGAGACCTCCAAGATGGCCCCATGACAGACCAAGAGGCCCCAAAGAGGGCCGAAACAAGACGCCAAGACGGCCCAAGATGGCCACCAAGACGCCCAAGATGGCCTCCAAGACGGCCAAGATGGCCTCCAAGATGCCTCCCAGACGGCCGAGATGGCTTCCCAGACGGCGAAGATGGCCCCAAGATGCATCCACAACGGCCCCAGCTGGTCTGAAGATAGCCTAAGATGGCCCCATAGGCCCGCACGAGGCCTCCAAGACGGCCCAAGAGCCCTCCAAGAAGTCCTCCAGGAAGGTCCGACAAGGTTAAAAATTCAATGAGTTTCCGATGGTGTTTGAAGGATTGAAGCTTTTGTTCCTTTTCAACCTTCTGACGGCCCAAGACGGCCCAAGAGGCCCCCGTCATCGTCCCAAGAGCGCCCAAGAGGCCTCCAAGATGGCCCCATGACAGACCCAGAGGCCCCCAAGAGGGCCCCAACACGACGCCAAGACGGCCCAAGATGGCCCCCAAGACGCCCAAGATGGCCTCCAAGACGGCCAAGATGGCCTCCAAGATGCCTCCCGGACGGCCGAGAAGGCCTGCAAGACGGCGAAGATGGCCCCAAGGTGCACCCAAGACGGCCCCAGACGGCCTGAAGATGGCCTTACACTGTCCCAAAGGCCGGCCAGGGGCCTCCAAGACGGCCCAAGACCCTTTCAAGACGTCCTCCAGGAGGCCCGACAGCTCGGAAACCACATGGTCCGATAGCTCGCCCGACTCCGTGTTCCCCGAAGGCTTTCGAAACCCACTCGGGGAACGCGTGGCCCGATAGCTTGGCCAAGCTCAAACCCAACGTAGGCGTCTTCGATCCGCCGCCCCCTGTGCTTGTCACAAGGGTGCCCGGCGTGCTCGACCCTTTCGGTGTTGGTTTTGGTTATTTTTCCAAAGCTCTCCCATATGGCTCCGGCCCGTCCCGCCGGCCACCTGGAAGGGACCGCAAACTGCGCATGTCAATACCTTTCGCGCCCAAGATAGCCCCGAATGGACTCCAAGCTGCTTCCGAAACTGCCAAAATGGTCCAAGATGGCCTCCAAGTCTGCCTAAGATGGTCCAAGATGGCCTCCAAGAGGGCCCTAGAGGGTCCAAAATGCCTCCAAGTCCGCCCACGAAGTCACCAAGAAGACCCCAAAGGCCTCCTAAGAGGGATACAAGACGGCCCAAGAGGGCTCCAAGAGGTACTCTAGCATGGCCCGAAAAGGTGAACATCATGGATGTTCCATGGGTTTTTGAAGGATTTTGGCATTTGCTTCTTTCGGCCTTCAGACTGCCCAAGAGCCCTCCAAGATCGCCCCAAGATCGACCAAGAGGGCTCCAAGATGGTTCCATGACGGCCCAACAGGCCCCGGAGACGGCCCCAAGAGGGCCCCAAGACGGCCCAAGAGGGCTGCAAGACGCCCAAGATGGCCTTCAAGACGGCCGTCAAGCGCCCCAAGACGGCCCCAAGGCCCCAAGACAGCTTCCGACGGCGTCAGACGTGCCAGGAGCCCACCAAGACGGCCCAAGATGGCTCTGAGATGGCCCAAGAGGCTCCCAAGAGCCCTCCAAGACGGCCTCCAGAAGGCCCGCCGATGCCAATCATGGATGTTCCTTAGGTTATTGACGGATTTTATGTCATTTTCGCCTTCAGACGCCCCAAGACGGCCCAAGAGCCCCCAAAGATCGCCGCAAGATCGCCCAAGACGCCTCCCGGATTGCTCCATGACGGCCCAAGAGGCCCCCGAGGCGGCCCCAAGACGGCCCCAGAACGGCCCAAGAGGCCCCCAAGACCGATCCAGGAGGGCCGCAAGACGCCCCAAGAGGCCTCCAAGACGCCCAAGATGGCCTTCAAGACGGCCCTGGAGCATCCCAAGACGGCCCCAAGTCGGTTCAGCGAGGCCCCAAAGACAGCTTCCAACGGCGTCAGACGGGCCAGGAGCCCACCATGACGGCCCAAGATGGCTCTCAGATGGCCCAAGACAGCCACGAATGCCCTGAAACTGTCAAAGGGGCCCCCGAGACGCCCCCGAAGGCCCCTAAGAGGCCAAAAGGAGGCCCCCAAAATGCCTCCGAGAGGCTCCCAGGAAGCTCCCAGGAGGTCCCAAGAGTGCCTCCAGAGGCTCCCAAGATGCCCCCTCCTCCTCCTCTTCCTCCTCCTCATCATCATCATCATCAGCATCATCATCATCGTCATCATCATCCTCTTCCTCCTCCTCTACATCCTCCTCCTCCTCTACATCCTCCTCCTCCTCCTCCTCCTCCTCCTCCTCCCTCCTCCTCCTCCTCTCCTCCTCCTCCTCCTCCCCTCCGCCTCCCCCTCCCCCTCCTCCTGCTGCTCCTCCCCCTCCTCCTCCTCCTCCTCCTCCTGATCTTCCCCGTCATCCCCCCTAAAATGTTCCCCGAATGGTTTCCTCAACGGATGGGGGAACGCATGGTCCGATAGCTTGGGATAGCACTTGCCACAACACTCGGACACATGGGCGATTTCAAAACTCTTGCTCCCCCACGCGTTCCCCAAAAGCTGTTCAAACCGACTCGGGGAACAACTGGCCCGGTAGCTTGGCCACGCTCTGGCCCAACTGTCGGCACCTTCTACGGCATTTGGCACCATGCAAGATACACACGCGCAAGATGGCCACCGCTTCAACCATATAAGCAATTGAGGTGGACATGTTGTAAGCCACGTGCTACGCAATGGGGCAATGGAGCTGCAGGCGTCCACCGCTGGGGCAATGGAGTGCAGACGTCCACCGCTTGGGCGACCCACCACTGCATAAACTGATACACGCCACAGAGCTGTAAAACGCTGAATGCAGTGATGGCCATCAACCTCTATGGGAACAAAGTGGAACGCACTGCTGCCACCTACACCCACCGACCATCGGACACCACATCACTGCATTACGCTACGTCTGCCTGCGATCTCAACTGAACTCAAGCACTGCACATTATCAATTGGCTTCCACCGTCGTGGTGGCTGCAGCAAATACTCAACAACGTGATGCGTGAACGAACAAAGCGGGAACCATACACACACCAAACAGATCGCCTCATCATCTGAATTACATTGCCGTTGTGACAAGGACGCACATTCACTGACGACATCGACGCACAACGCAAGCTTACCACGGAACTTGCGGCACGACCCCTAACTAAAAACGATGCAGAGTCACAAATGTTTGAATTCAGTAAAAGAAGAAACCAACGACATGACAATTTCGAGCAACACAGGCAAAACGCCCCCCCACAACGAAGAGATGTACTTCCGCAACAAGCGAACTGCTATCATGACGCTTCCCGTCGAGCGATACGCTTTTCGATCATGAGGATGTCATCTCGACGGGCAAGGCAAAACGGCGCTGCGCATTGCCAAATCCCAGCCGCAATACAAAACAAACACACGAGCACGAGACAAACCGCTGCGTTCTGCCAACCGCCGCAAACTTATCCTCGGATCGCCATGTATCAGCACCAAGTGCCAGTGCTGTTGCTCTACGCTTTCTGGATTTTTGGGGGGGCCTCGAATATTCGCAAGAGGGCCGCGAGCCAAGCTTTCAAGCGGCTCCCAACACTGATCGGAGCGACTTGCCGCCGAACCCCTGGAAGCCAGCTCTGGGAACGCCTGCCGCAACACAAGCAAAGAGCTCGGCCCTGGATCCTGGACACAGTGGGGGCTCGACCGCAAGAAACCTTCCACAGGAAACCCAGCCCTGAGATCCCAGGACTCCCCTGGGCTTCTGGCGTGGGAACGTCCCGCTCTCCGCAGCAACGCCATCGAAACCCAACAGAAACCAAGGCTGGCGGCGCGCGCAAGGGGGTAGAGGGAGGGGGGAAGGCGTCTTACAGGGAGGTTGCTCCTCAGAAGGCGCGGGTCTTACATCTACAAACAAGGCCCGCCCTGCTTGCCTCCAGGGTGCCCTGGGTTTCTTAAGTTTCGGTGGTTTTGCTATGGAAAGCGTGGCGTTCTCACACCAAAAGTCAATAAACGTCCTGGGGTCTCAGGGTTGGGTTCTTGTGGAAGGTTTCTTGTGGTCGGGCCCCTGCTGGGGCACCCAGGAAGAGGAGGAGGAGGAGGAGGAGAAGGAGGAGAAGGAGGAGGAGGAGGGGGAGGAGGAGGATGAACAGGGGGAGGAGGGAGGAGGGAGGGAGGAGGGGGGGAGGAGGGAGGAGGTAGCAGGAGGAGGAGGAAGAGGAGGAGGCGACTCCCCCGTCCTACATATGGTACCGGTGGTGGAACATTCGCCCATCAAGCAGGGAGCGTCTCTTGGCAGGGGCCTCTCCACCGTAGAAGGAACGAAAAGCCCTCTTCTCGTCTGGGGGCCTCGGCGGCGCGCCTCGAGGCGTGCGCGAGGCGCCTCTGGGCACGGCGGCGGGGCATGGGCCGAAACAGCCATTCGATACTTCTCGGTCCACGCTCCTCGAGAGAGAACTTTCGAAGAAGAAACAACGCTATAAAGATATTTGTGTTGGCGTTCCGCGCGTATTTCTTGCATCTGTGCTAGACCCCCCCTCCCGCCCTGGCGCGCGGAGCGCGTCGGGGGCGGCGCTGCCAAAGGGGGCCACGCGCGGATCCACGAAATCCGCGCGGAGCGCCAACAGTTTGTTATGGCGTGTGTTCTTCTTCTAGAAAAGCCAAGCGACACTCTGACAGGAATCCTGGAGACCAGCTCTGGCATCCCTCGCTCTTCCCAGAGAGGACGGCGAACATCATATACATTCGGCCCGCATCATAAGGATGCGCGGTACGCAAAACTCGGGGGTACGGCGGACTCTTGTTGGCCTGACAAGGGCCATCATGAAAACGACGAAACCCCATCTGTAAAACTGGCGCGACCTCCCGCTGCAAACATCCCACGAACACGGGACTGTTAACAATCAGGACGCGCTCGTCAAAAAACGTGGGCGAACCCGAATTCCAACTTACTCGAGTCTTGCGTTTCCGCGATCCTCGAAAGAACATGTCAAGCGACACTCTGGTAGGAATCCCAGAGACCAGCCCTGGCAGCACTCGCTCTTCCTACAGAGAAGGCGAGCATCAAAGAAGGCAGGCATTTTTTTACAAAGGGCCTGGTCCGAGCATTCTCGCAAAAGGACCTCCTGGACGTCCAGAGAACAACATCATCGCAAACACAGCAATGTCGGACGTCGGTCCAAGCCGATTTGTCGCCTCGCGCTTCGAACTTCACAAGTTTAACAGGGCGTAAGGCAGCAAGATGGTTGGCATACTAGATACTGGGCTTTGACACTGGGCAGTGCAGACGAGAACGCAAACACTAGTTCTAGTGCAGCGGGCGGAGGCACGAAGTCTCCTCCTCCAGAGTCATGGGCACGATGGTGAAGTGACCGTGCCTGCACAAATTCCAATCCCGCGTTCCGTCGCCATTTGAATGTTCATCTACTCCCTCCACAAACTCACCTCTGCATTTCTCCTCGTCCTCCTTTCCCTGCCGGCCTTCCTCTACTACCAAACAATCTTCTCTACAGTATTATTACGCTGAGCAAGTCATGCCGCTGCTGTACTGTAGCTGCTACAGTCAATAATTGCGCAAAGAGAATATGCTGTAATTTGCGACGTGGCTAGGAGTTGGGGAGGATTTGAACATTGGGGGGGATTCTACACAGGACAAAAAAACGGATCTGGGGACGATTTGGGAATGGGGGGAAATTCTACAGAGGGAGCAGCAGGAGTTGGGGAGGACTTGAGAATTGGGGATGACTCTACACAGGACAAACAAATCGGCTGGAAAAAAACAGGAGTTGGGGTGGACTTGGGAATTGGGGGGGGTTCTTGATTCTACAAAAGCAGCAAGCAAGAGTTGGGGAGGATGTGGGGAACTGAAGACGATTCAACATAGGAAAAAACAGGAGCTGGGGAGGAGTTGGGATTCCGGGGAAATTCTACGGAGGAAAGATCAGGAGTTGGGGAGGTGTTGGGAAATTGGTGGGGATTACACAGAGGAAAGGGCAGGAGTTGGGGAGACATTGGGAACTGGGGAGGATTCTGCAGACAGGAAAACTAGGAATTGGGGAAGATGTGGGTTTCGGGGTGGGACCAACGGAGAAACATCAGGATTTGGGGAGGATTTGGGAATTGGGGAGGATTCCACAGAAAGGAAGAAGCAGAAATTGGGGAGGATTTGGGAATTGGGGAGGATCTTACGGGGAGGAAAACATGAGCCAGGGAGGATTTGGCAATTAGGGAAACTTGTATAAAGGAGGAGGCAATAATTAGGTTGGATTTGGGAATCGGAAACAACAGTTTGGGCGGACTTAGGGAGTGGGGAAGATTCTAGAAAGAGAAGGAACAAGAGTCGGGGAGGATTTGGGAAGAAGGGAGGATTCGACAAAAGGAAAAACAGGAGTTGAGGAGGATTTGAAAATTTGCGAGGATTCCACACAGGAACAGGCAGGAGTTGGGAAGAGTTTGTGAGTTGGGAGACGATCCTACAAATGAGAATTGCAGGAGTTGGGGAGGATGTGAGAATTGGGGAGGATTCTACAAAAGGAAAGAAGCAGGAGTTTGGGAGTTGGGGAATTAAGAAGAATTCAACACATGAAAAAGCAAGAGTTGGGGAGGATTTGGTATTTGGGGGGTTCTACAAAGGAACCAGCAGGAGTTGGGGAGGATTCGGAAGCGGGGAGGGTTCTACAAAGGAAGAAAACAATAGTTGGAGAGGATTTGGGGAATTGGGGAGGGTTCTACAGACGAACATGCAGGGGCTGGGGAGGATTTTGGAATTGGGGGGGGTTCGACTGAGCAGAAAGCACGGGTTGGGGATGGTTTGGGAATTGGGGGGGTTCTACAGAGGAGAATGAAAGAGCCGTAGCGGATTTGGGAATTGAGGAGGATTCCTCAACGGAAAAAGCAAGAGTTGGGGAGGCTCTGGGAGTTGGGGAGGATTCTACAAGGATGAACGAACAAGAGTAGGTGAGAATTTGAGGTTCCGGGCGGATTCCACAAAAAGGGAAAAGCAGGAGTGAGGCAGGATTTGGCACTGGGAAGCAAAAAGTGAAGACGATCTGGGAATTGGGAGATTCTACAAGAAGGAAAAACACATGAGTCAGGGAGGATGTGGGAATTGGGGAGGAGTCTACGAAGGAAAAAAAACAAGAGTTGGGGAGGAGTTGGGGATTAAGGAGGATTCTACAGAGGGAGAAGGCAGGTGGGGAGGATTTGGGAATTGTGGAGGATTCGACAAAAGGAAAAAAGCTTGAGTTGGTGAGGATTTGGGAATTGGGGAGGATTCAACACAGGAGAAAGCAGGAGTTGGGGAGGATTTGGGAATTGGGGAGAAGGATTTTACAGAAGGGGAAAAACTGGAGTTGGGGAGGAGTTGGGGATTGGGAGGGCTTCTACACAGGAGAAAACAAAGTTGAGGAAGGGAGTTCGGGAAGATGCTACAACACAGAAAAAAAACAGGAGTTGGGGAGGATTTTGGAAGTGGGGAAGATTCGACAAATGAAAAATACGAGTTGCGGAGGATTGGGAAGTGGCGAGGATGCTACAGAAAAGAAAAAACATAGTTTGGGGAGAATGCGTGAATTGGTGAAGACTCTGCAAAACAAAAAACCGGAGTTGTGGAGGATTTGGGGGTTGGGGAGGATTCTACAAAGGGAAGAGCACGAGTTGGGAAGGATTGGGGAATTGAGGAGGATCCTACACAGGAAAAAAACAGGAGTTGGGGAGCATCTCGGAATTGGGGAGGATTCGACAACAGAAAAAGCCGGAGTTGGGGAGGATTTGGGACTTGAGGGTGGTTCAACGGAGGAAAAAGCGAGAGTCGGGGAGGATTTAGGACTTGGACGGGATTGTACAGGAGGAACAAAAAGCAGTCGGGAAGGATGTGGGAAATGGGGAGGACTTCGCAACGGAAAAGGCAGCAGTTGGGGAGGATTTGGGAATTGGGGAGGATATTACACAGGAGAAAACAGGAGTTGGGGAGGATTTGAAGTTGGCGAAGTTTCTACAAAGGAAAAAAAAAATTGTTGGGGGATCTGGGAATTGGGGTTCTACGGGGGGGAAAAGCAAAAGATGCGGATAATTTGGGAATTGGGGAGGATTCAACAGAAGAAACAACAAAAGTTGGGAATGATTTGGGAATTGGGGAGGGTTCTACAGGGAGGAGGCAATAGTTAGGGAGGATCTGGGAATTGGGGAGGACTCTCCAAAGGAAAAAACACGGGTTGGGGAGGATTCCGGAATTGGGGAGGATTCGAAGAAAAGGAAAAAGCAAGAGTTGGGGAGGATTTCTGGAAATGATGAAGATTCAACAGAGGAAACAAACAGGAGTTGGGGAGGAATTGGGAATCGGGGGGGATTCTACAACGGAAAAGAACAGGAGCTGGGGAGGATTTAAGAATTAAGCAGGATTCTACAGGAGGACAAAGCGACAGTTGGGGCGGATTTGGGAATTGGAGAAGATTTCGCACAAGAAAAAACATGAGCTTGGGAAGACTTGGGACTTGAGATGGATTCTACACAGGACCAAAAATAAGCTGGGGAGGAATTCCCCCAAACCCAAATACTACTCAATTCCCTATATCCTCCCCAGATCCTGCATGCTCCTCCGTAGAACCCCCTCCCATTCCCTGATCCTCCCCAACTCCTGCTTTGTCCACTGTACAATACTCCCCAGTTCCCCAATCCTCCCCAACTCGTGAAGCTTCCATCGTAGAATCTTTCCAATTCCCCAAATCCTCCCAGACTCCTGCCTTTTTCCTGTGTAGAATCAATCCTCCTCGATTCCCAAATCCTCCCCAACTCCCGCTCTTTCCACTGTAGAATCTTCACCACTTCCCAAATCCTCCCCAACTCATTGCGTTTCCTGTGTAGACTCCTCCCCAATTCCAAAATCCTCCCCACCTCTGGCTATTTCATTTGTAGAATCCTCCCCGATTCCCAGATCCTCCCCAACTCCTATTCTTTCCTCTGTAGAAGCCACCCCAATTCCCAAATCCTCCCCACATCTTGTTTTTTCCTGTTGTAGAATCCTCCCCAATTCCCGAATCCCCCCCAACTTCTGCTTTTTCCTCTGTAGAAATCTCATCAATTCCAACATTCTCCCCATCTCCTGCTTTTCCCTTTGTAGACCCCCCAATTCCCAAATCCTCCCCCAGTCCTTTTTCTTCTTTGCACAGTCCTCCCCAAGTCCCAAGTCCTTCGGAACACCTGCTTTTTATCTGTAGAATCCTCTTCAAAGACTCAATTATCCCCAACTCCTCTGTTGAATCAATCTTCTTTATTTCCAAAATCCTCCCCAACTCTTGCTTCTAATTCGCCAATCCTCGATAATTCCTGCTCTTTCCTATGCATCCGCCGACCATGTCGGCTTGTGTGAGGGGTTTGCCCGTTCAAGTCGTCATCTCTGTCATTCGTTGGTCGTCGTCTCTGTCGTCCCCTTTCCCTGCCTCCCCCCTTTCCCTGGGCTCGTCGAAGCCCCCCCCTTCCCCAGGGACCTCCTCAGCGCGCTAGCCAAAGCAAAGTTGAGCACCGTCGTAATTGAGTCAAAGGGAAGCCCCTTTCCTTCGATCCCATCCCCGCCGAGGAGGGGGGGGTCCAGATACGACGCCCTCCCTGGGAGCCCCAGAGCCCCAAAAAGCCCCAAAACGGGCCAAGAGTGCCCCAAGAGGTCCCAAAGATAGTCCAAGAGAACCCCAAATCGCCGTACGATCTGTCCAACACGCCTTGACGGCCTCCAGATGGCCCAAGAGGCCTGCAAAGCGCCCCAAGAGGCCTCTAGGAGCTTTCCCACGAGAGCACCAAAAAGCAACATTCATGGCGTCCTTGCCCTTTCCGATTCCCGACGCGCCAAGACGGCCCAAGAGGCCCCCAAGAGGGCCCCCTAACTGAAGAGGGCCCCAAGACGGCCCAAGACGCCTCCAACACGGCCCAAGAGGCCCCCAAGACGGCTCCAGGAGAGTGGCCAGACGGGGGACCCGAACGAACATTTCGAGCTCTCAGCGCCAAGAGGCCCCCAACAGGCCCCGAAGAAACCCCAACAGGCCCCAAGAAACTCCCAAGGGCCAAGACAGCTCAGGAGAGCCCCAAATTGCCCAGGAGGCCTCCAATATTGCCTCGGGACGGTGCAAGAGGAGCCCTGGACGGCCCAAGACGGCCTCAAAAGAGCCCCAGGCTGTCCCAAGAAAGCCTCTGGCCTCCTCTTCCTCCGCCTCCTCCTCCTCCTCCTCCTCCTCCTCCTCCTCCTCCTGGCCCCCCCGTTCTGCTCCCCCTCCTCCTGCTCTCCTCTGCCTCCTTCTCCTCCTCTTGCTTCTCCTCCACATCCTTCTCCCCCCTCCTCCTCCCTCATCCAGCTACTCCACCCTTCCTCCAACTCCCACTCATCCTCCTC